ATGACTTTGGCCAGTTTCAGCTGATTCCAGTGACTGAAGCTGCTGGTTTCCTTCTCTAATGGGAGGCTGTGAACACATGTGAGGACGACTGCACATGTTTAGTGTAAAAGAATTCAGATAAATTCAACTTGTGGACATTTCATGCTTTTTTTAGATTGCGACAGAAGAGAGCTAAACTCATGGACCAGCAGGCCACCTCCAGATTTATTTGTTCTTTAAGGAAAGCCGTTCTTGTGTGTTGCTTCATTGTGTTGGTATTTTGTGTTTTGCAGGTTTTATGCAGCAGAGATTGCTGTTGGTTTGTTTTTCTTGCACCGAAAGGGAATCATCTACAGGTGAGTGATTGACCTGATGCTGCACAATATGGTTATCTAACATTTTGCCTACATTAGTGATCAGGGGATAACAGACAGGAGGAGGTGAAGAAAGACGGAGAGTGTTTGTGCTAAAGACGGCGGTTTTAAAAGCAGAGACACTGACAGAGACGAAGGTCGTCCCTCTTCAGCTGAGGGCTCGTATCCTGTTTGGCAACCTGATGGAGAAAAGTGCCAGAACTGGCGAGTGAGGGGAAAAAATGACCAATCGAGACACAAGCGAGGATGCGAGCTGAATTGTAAGAGGAAGAAGGCTGGCGGGAGAAAAAGAAATGATCTCAAGCCGAGACATGAGTGTTTGTTACGATGTGCAAACAGACGAAGTGCTCGGAGGTTTGGCAGCGGTGCACAACACATGTTCCTCAAGCGCTCACAGAGCCGTCTCTGCTGCAGGGATCTGAAGCTGGACAACGTGATGCTGGACTCGGAGGGCCACATCAAGATCGCAGACTTCGGCATGTGTAAGGAGAACATGTACGAGGGGATGAGCACGCGCACCTTCTGCGGCACCCCGGACTACATCGCACCCGAGGTACGGACACGACACCTCCTAGTTTGGGCCTTTTGCATTTCACACCTGTCAGCTTCCATGTGCTACCAATTTGAACCGTTTTAGCGAATCCCTCCCCTGAACAGAGATCGTCCAATCGTAGCTTAGCAACCGTAACCAGGCCTCCACATCTGGAAGTGATGTGTGCATGGACGTGCTTTCACTGTAGTTTTTCAACACTTTGCTGTTACTTTACAGGCTTTCTTTTTTTTTCTTACTAAATTACAGATAACACATTAAAGCATTCAATATAAGTAGAATTTTTTACAGTGTTTGACGGTAAAATGGCTTCACTGGATTTTATAGCTGCAGAAAATATTTATTTACAAATGTTTGCTGTTATTTGAAATAAAAAAGTGTGTTTTTTAAGGACTGTACAAAAAAATTAACTTCTTGTTTGTAGTTGCTATTTTACAGACTTTCCCTGTTTGGTTAAATTACAGAAACTATCTCGTAAAGTCACAGAATTAAATATATATATATATTTATATATTTAAAACAACAATAATAACAACGGGCTGCAGGTGGTTCAGTGGTTAGCTCCGTGGCCTCACAGCTAGAAGGTTGGCGGTTGGCGTCCCGGTGAGGACACCCGGGATCTTCCTGCGTGGAGTCTCCATGTTCTCCCCGTGCAGCGTGGGTTCTCTCCGGGTTCTCCGGCTT